TTTTCATGATCTCGTGCGATATTGGTAGCGCATGTGGAGGCCATCCATGCACACCCATATTCCACTCCAGAATGAGGAATGTGCTGAATTTGGGGGGCCCGCTCTTTTAGTAAATATCATGGATGCTAATTTGGGTTTGCAGAGGATATTGGAAACGTACAGGTGGCTTGTCGAGCCAGATGTATTTTCAAGACATGGTAACACAGGCACCCAAAATTGTGAAACCAGAGTCGTGATCAATATCCGCATGAAATTTTGGTCCACGGCTGCTCAACGTTTGTACTATCCCAGCATTGAAGGACGTTTCTGCACTGTATGTACGATGCATATTTACAAAAGTAGAAGTGGTTTATTGAACCATCGTGTGGGGCTCGCTTTCCGCCAAAAAACCAATACCTATTCTACCAGGTTTGAGTGTTCACAGCTCAGCCATCACCAAATAGAACATCACAACTGCGTGCATCATATTGTGTGACAGAACTCATTGACCTACCCAAGCCATGACCAAAACGATGCGATTTTATCTCTGACTTTAAATGGAGAAGCACTAAGATGAGGCAGTTCCCCTAAGATAAAAATTCAAAGCAGCAAAATGTTATCTGATTGGATTGTGAAGTTGTACTCCAACACACATAAATATCAAAGTACTGTCATTTCCGACATTCTTGGGAGCTTGAGTCACTGCAGTATAGTTGATTGTGCCCCACCGCTGCTGCAGGGGCCTCCGACATCCAAATATTCTGTCAAAAGGGCTCAACATGTGCTTTCGCTATTTCGCGACTTCAGAGATAAAGTCGAAAAGTCCAAAAAGTCAGATGTCCATCAATGTACATCGCCACATCATAATCTACACAGAAACGCCAGCTCCCTTTTGCAAAGCTCTAGTACTTTCGTGCCATAGCAACCCACCTGCGGCATGTAGCTTCAGACCAAATCCAATAGTATCTGATTTTTCACTTTGTGACCATTCTCTGTGGACATGCAACTGTCAGCATATCCATTTGTCAATAAGTACTTTATTTCTGATCGAAAGTGTTGACAATCTCTCAAGTCACCACCACTTTCTCGCCAAGCGCTGGGAGCGAATTAGGACTTCTGTAATATGTCGTATGATAGATCGTACCACCCTAGAGGGGAAAACTGCTGGGAATCTAGATTCTAGACAGATTCTAGAATCTAGACAAGATCTTGTCCACGTGGGAAGTTTGCTGTGGAAGACTCCGATTGGAGCATGAAGCGCAAACAGGAAAACCGGCAATGTGTCCGTCAGGAGCTCTGACCAAACTCGTTTGCAGAAAGCCGCACATTTCGAGAAGGCCACTGCAATGCGCACAGCGTACCATTCATTTTTCTATTTTTCTGGACTTGTCTGTGGCTCTCTGAGTTTTTTTATCACATGCCAGGGACCGCTGCATGGATGCGCAGAAGCCGCTCCAGAAAAATTCAAGAAAATGTCAAAAGCACCAAAACCAAGGCCTCCTGCCAAAATCAAAGTTTGACGCCGCCAGCTCACAAACTCCGTCCCAAAGCACATACCTGATGCAAATTGCATCGTTGAATGACCAAGTTAGTTCTCCAAAGTATCCTCCTCTCGGCGTCAACGCTCCGTCGTATCAGGAGCTCCACTTCCATCCAAACCAGGTAACAGGGGAAGGGCCAGCAGTTGAGGAGCCCCAAACATCCTCCGAATCTCGCTGTCGAGGCAAGGCGAATGGCTAGCGCCCAGCACCGACAGAGCGTGCCCGTCATCATTGACGGCGTGTTGGCCAGGTACTGGCGGTAACGTTCCTTCAGCTCTGGATCATTGAAAGTGAGACAGAAGGGACCCATGGATGGACAGCTTGGTCCCTCGTTCGCCTGGCTCTGTACTGCGCCTTGGAATCCTTGCTACTTGCCCTCTTCCCTCGTGCCTGTAGTCTGTCGGGGTTGGAAAGCATCGCAAATGTCGCCATGACCAGGTGCAGCACGGAAGCTGGTTTCAAGTCCAGGACACAGCAAGCTTTCTCATCTGCATTGGCCTCGGGAACTGCCAAGTTTCTCCGGAACGCCAGCGGTTGCCTGTGGTGCAGGGGTACGGCAATTTTAGGTGATGTACCACACTTGCGATGCGTTGAGGGTGCTTCAGCACCACGCATTGTTGCTGTACAGCGCAACGGGGCTAGCTAGGTTGTCAGAGACCAGTCAGAGAGAACCAGGTGCCGGGCATGCAGCAACTGCGGTTGCTGTCAAAATATGTTGCAGTCCCAAGAACCACAGCATACGAAGGGGTGCTCCCACCCTAGCAAGAATAAGGTGGGCCTTTTTCCGCTTTGCAACGCTATAGGGACATCCATGGGAAGGATAAATCGAAAGACATAAGCCTGCGTGAAAAACACAAGCACGCACTCCCCGGGTATTATAGTTACTGTATTTAAACCTGAATTCCAGCAGATTATCTTTCATCGCGGTCTTTTGGATATTGGGGTGTCGCTTGACATGGCTGGGCGTTCGCGATTCCGACGGAGGGATCAGAATGCCACAACCAACTTCGAGGCGCTCGCCACTTTGGCTGAAGCGTCAGCAGCCAATAGCGCAAGAGCACTTGTGCAACAGATGAGCGGGTGAGACTGATCGCGCCATGACTCGCTGGCTTGGAGCAGGAGCTATGAGCGTGTACGCGACTGGCCACTGACATGTCGGAACCTATTAAAGACACACTGGCCTATCCTGCCGTCGACGGGCTGGCGTCCATCCCCAGTACTTGGACATCCAAGTATGAATTATGACAAAGGTGACGTAGGCGGGTGCTGGCGATGGGCAGGCCACAATACTTGCATTCTGGGTCAGGTTGGCTCTTCGTCAATTCGCCAATTTTTGGTTTCGGTTCAAGCCCGCTTGGGCGCCTGGAGCATACGCTGACCATAAAGTTGCCTAAGTGCTAGACCTTAGTTTTCCACACGGCAGTGATGCCAACGGGTGTGGCATGACAGCCACTGCAAGTGGGGAGGCGGGCTGCAGCGCGTCGACACAGCCCCGCCAGGCATCCATCACAGCCCACACCGCAGCCGACAGAAGCGCAGATCCTTGGAGAAGACAGGAAAGTACGATCGGTGAGTTTACATTCCCGCTGCTGAACAAATTCTGAAGCGGACGACCCCCGGGCACAGACCCAACGCCTGACAGAAGCAATAACACGCACCGCGGCCAGCACGGCCCGGCGCTGGCCCGCGGTGCTAACTACAAATGCCCACCCTGCTGGACTCCCGCTTAGGTATCTTACCATCGCGACGATCACCCCCAAGCCGCCAAGTTTCTGTTATGGTGCGCGGCGCCAAAACCGCTGGCCAAGGCGGCAGTCGGTTTTGGTGGGCGCGTGTGACCCACAATAAATCAAAGAAAACGCCGGCCCCACCCGGCAAAGCGATCCCCACAAAGTTGGACGGGCTCCCTTGCACGCACCAATTTGTCTCCCTAGCTACCAAGCCAGTAGGGCGAAATGGTTAGGCTTTGTTCTTCTTGCATCGCCCGAGAGGCGCACACCCATCTCTGCCTCAATGTCCGAGTGCTTATTCAAAGAACCCCTCGATGGTTTGAATTATGCCCCCGTCACCGCCCTGAAGGTGAAAGGGCGCTGCAGTGCCAGCTCCTGGCAAATGCAGTCAATGGTTCACACAAAGGCGCAGATGAAATCCTCCGGACACTGGGGCCCGTGAGTCATTGCCCTCCCCACCCGCCCCCGTAGTCTTCTCAAAAATGGTTCTGGTACAACAATCCAGAGAAATGCATGTGAGATTGGAACACCAGAGGCGTGTGATTGGAAACTATATGCCGACCCAAAGGAGTGGAAAACAGGGAAGAAACTATCATGCATGTGTACGCATGTGTATGAAATGCCCAAGTCTCCAGCCCGCAGGCCATCCAGAAATTGTGGTCTTCGAGGCTAGTACTGTTGTAGCTTGTCGACCTGATCGCCACTCTCGCACCCACTTCACACAACATTCAAACCTGTATTCGTGAAAAAACTGCAAACGTTAATGCCCACGCGCCCGTCACCGTCCTCAGCGCACTCTTCACAATGTACAGCACTGCTGGGCGGTTTTCAGCCGTGGCCGCCTATTTCACTTGCAAATCTCCCCTAATGCCAATCGCAGGCTGGCTGCCACGCAAGGGCCCTCCCACTGGGTCCCACGCAAGGCTTCCCAACCCGCTCGAAAGATATCATTTCATCGCAGTTCAGTGCGTGCACGCCTACGAGGGACAGCCACGCAGCGAAACATGCCATCCAAAGCAACAGAGCTCGTTCCGCCAGGCCACGCTCTCGAATGGCGCCCCCATCATTTGGGCCCCAAGGACCGCCTGCCCCCGCGGTCAACACCCCCCAAAATAGGCGCCGCACGTCCAAGGCTGGCGCCGCCCGTACCCAAAGACACACACATCTAAGGCGTTCAACTCGTCGTTCGGTTGCCACAACAAACACAATTGAGTTCTTGTTTACTGCCCACACCGAGCGCGGCTGCCCCCATTGTCAATCCCCGCCAGGGGCGTCTGCACCCACATTTTCCACCTCCTCCGACAGCACACTGCCGCCGCAAGGTCCCTAGCCAAGAGCAGAAAAAAAGCGAAGAAGAAAATGGCAGTCCGGCCGGCGACGTCCCCGCCGCGGCCGCTGCCGCCATGCAAAACTCTCACCACCTTATTGACTACTGAGACGCACCGCAGGGCGGCACGAAACGCTCTATGACACATACAATACACCGGCGTGGTGGCCCGGCCCCCTGCGCCTTTGGGTTTCTCAAAGTTGTTCGATAAATGGTCGAGCCAAATCCTTTCTCCCTCCCACCCACTCAAACCCGCCAAAAACGAAGACCAGGTTTCTGATTTCGGTTCGGTTTTGCTCACGGTGCGACAAACACCCCCTCAGAAAAAAAGTTGGTGCCAGCAAGTACTGTAAAGTACAGAGCCTAATAGCACTTTTCCCAAGACTGGGCTGTGTCGCAGGTTGCGACACGCGCATGAATTTTTCACGCCGCGGCCCAACGCCAATCCCACACCCCGGCGATGGACCCGTTCCGGGCCGCCGCCCCCGCCGCGCCCCCTGGCGCCCGGAGCCTCTCCGGCGCCGGCCCCCAGGTTCCGGATCCCGGGGTGAAGTACAGCAGCACCCTCCACGTCACGCCGAAGGCTACCCACGTCAGCACGCCGTGCATGACGCAAGAAAAGGCCGGCAGCTGCTCCACGGCGTGGGCCCCAAGGCCCGCCCGCCAGATGAATTCCACCCTGCTGCGCCGCTCCAGCAGCCACACGAAGTAGGAGGCCACCAGGAAGCCCAGGAACAGCTGCAGAAATAGCACCAGCTGGAGGCAAGGCTGCTCCACCGTCCACTCCAGCGCGCCCGGCAAGTTGCCGACCCCAAAGGTCACCTCCAAACACGCCCGTGCCGCTCCGTCCAGCAGTGACGTCATCCCGTCGATCGTGTGCCAGGCGAATGCCTCATCGCGGCACTGGGAGCACATGCCCGCGCATGATGCAGCAGCGCACGTGGGCACACCGGCGTTGATGGCCACGAAGGCGAGGGCGACGGCGTGGACGGGGATGTGCCAGCGGAAGGGCAGCGGCTGGGCGAGGGCCATGATGAGCAGCGACCAGAGGCCGGAGTAGGAGAGAGCGGAAAAGAGAAGGGAGCGGGGGGACAGGGCGGTGAGCAGGAGGCCGCTGGCGGCGTCGGAGCATCCCAGGCCCGCCTCCAGGGTGGTCATGAACCTGTGCGGCCCACAGCGGCGTCAGGAATGGCCTGTGCAGAAAGGGGCACACAATTGCGGGGGGTGTTCCGGACTACATTCAAGAAGTACAAAGCCTATTACCAACTACAAAGCACTGAGCAACGTACCTTTCCTGGAGTAGTGTTTCTTATGCTGAGAGGTTCTACTTAAAGTAACATAACGTTATGTATACATACCCCTCTTATGAGGATTCCTGGTATTTCTGTCCACATGGTGCCCAAGCTGGCAATTTGACAATGTTTCAACAAGGGAAGGGAAGGTTGTGATCACTATTGTGTAGCGTATTTCGCACACAGTTGTGTCAAACAAAACAAGACAGTATGCAGGTATGTCAACGTTAGTGAGACAGAACTTCCAATCGCCACCAACAAGCACATTTCACAACACACCCACAAGGGTTTTGATGACAGCAATCGCCTGTGGTGGAAGCAAATGGGAAGAACAGAAACACAATAATCTGAATGCAAGGAAATGGGAGTGCCTGACGAAGTACAGGGAGTGTCCAGCAGAGTGCTCGCACAATTTGGGAGATCACCATCTAAGGTCCATTTCCCGTTCATACACAAAAATAATCACACTACTGGAAGGCAGGCTGGACTGCCACTGAATGTCATTACCGGTAGTGTGGTACATTACATGCCTTGTGTGCATTGTGTCTTTGACAATATTGATGCAACGAACGTCCAAATGGCAGGAAAGTGTATCCACGGAAACCAGCAAGCTGTGTCAGCAAGTGAAACAATGCATTCTGCTTGTGGACCCAGATTGTTGGGCATCCTTGGCCACACAATGTTCAGAGCGTGGAAACCCCTATTCCCATGAGGGCTTAAATGCAATAACAATGCAGTGCCCAATGACACCTTGCACCACCCCTTGCCTGCCACCACCGCTTGTGAGAAGTCATCGAGGCAACTGTGCTTCCATGAAATTCTATGCGGTACAGGTTCCACAAAGTCGTGGCAAACAGATCCCTTACACCGGGCAGGCCAAGGCAGATGTGCTATGAGCCCATTTGCATGTGTTCAAAGTCCAAAAGTCATGACTCCACACACCATCGAGCTGCACAACATGCAAGCCACCACTATGTCCATTTCCTTGGAGAGTAAATTCTCAACAGCACTTGAAGAATCCAAGCCCTGCACCTCGCAGACGATGATGGGCACAGCAGCAGGTAACGAGACAGGTATTTTTGAAGCGAATCTGTAACACTCTACACACTAAATGCAGAGTGGGCCAAATATCGACCTACAAGTAGAGACCACCTCTGAATAGCCAGGCCTGTTGGGCCAAATCTGGTTTGTCACATACTTGTAGTGAAGAAGGCACCACATCCCATGCAGGCGCAATACGGAACTTGGGACCCATGACACACCCTGGAGGTTGTGCATTCGCAGAACGTGAAACAGATGTCTGCAAAATCGAGGAAGGCGTGGGCCGCTCTGTGTATTCTGAACATAAGCTTCCGGGCACCACGTAGGAAAGGTAAGCGCCATGATCACGAGAATGGTGCACACCCAATTGAATCTGGAGCCGGATTCAGGGCACCCTTTGCCAGAATCATTGGCGACTGTTCGGAAGCACACCCCAGCACGACTGATCCACGCCAAGTTGGTGCTGCCAACGTCGGCGGAATCAATGCATTCATTGGCGCCTCGGGCGCTGAAACTGACGAGTCGCAACGCACTCCACCCCAGATTTTGGCACTGCAAGTGCGATGCAGTTCTCAGTTGGTTCGGCGCCGCCGCCCCACAGCGGATGGGCGGCGTCACGCACTACACTGACGTCATCCGACGGCGCCTGTCAAAGAACATCACCAGCCTGACCGTGCCCGCCCGTGGCCCTTCAGCGGGCTCGCACTCCGAGAATCGACCATCGTACCGCCCGCGTCCCCTGACTAACGGCCTGCCGGGCCCCCGCCAGCCATGCGGGCACGGGGGGCCCCCTCGCCGCCCGAAGTCCCAGGGACGCCTGGCTCGGCCCCTTCCAGCCCGACCGCCAATCGCATCGTCGCGCGAGCCTTTCACCTGCCCCCTGGGCAAGGCGGCGTCCCGCAGGTGCCCGCGGGCCCAATCCGACCGATCCCATCAACGGGCTCCCGCGCGGCCTCCCGGCCGCCAGGCAGGGTTTCGGCCCACCCTCACCCGTGCCAGGCACGAGCAGCCCGCGCGGCGACGCACCGATGCGGGGGATCCCAGCCGGATCCCACGCCCGGCAGCCCCGGGCGCCGCAGCCGCGAACCCGCACGGCCGCTCGGCGGCAATCGACGCGCGAACGGCCGATGCGCGATTCGGTTCCCTCGCTCGGCGGAGTCCCTCTATTTCTCCGCCCCCGCCCTTCGAAGCCGACCCTGGAGCAACCCGCACGTGCGCCAATCGCGCATCTTCGCGCAGCCGCTCAAGCGACAATCGATGAGGGACTCGGCTCCTTCGCGCGGGAGACTCCTCCGTGCTCCTCACCAGTCCGCCTCCCGTCCGCACAACAAGCAGCCCCTCGTGCTGCCCATCCTCGGCGCCTGCCCGCATCTTGGCCCTCCCGGTGGATACGACCAACCCGCAGAGCCGCTCGGCGGCAATCCATACGCGAGCAGCCGATACGCGATTCCGCTTCTTCTCGCGGTCGAATGCCTCCATCGCCCCCGCCCTCCCCGCCCCTGAAAGCAATCCCTCGGGCTACGCCGTCCGCGATTCCTCCCCGCATCTCCCCACCTGGTGGATATGACCAGCGGCGTGCGCCAGGCGCCCAGGCCGCCGCGCCCCGCCGCCGCCCGCAGGCCCAGGTCCGCCGCCGCCCACAGCATCCATGCCAGCGTCGGCCACGCCGCCCGCGCCATCATCAGCGCCAGCCCCGGCGATCCACCGGCCCCTGCCGCGGGCCAAGCCAGGGCGACGGCTCGTGATGCCATCGCGAGGATCAGGAAGGTCCTGTCGGCATCCGCCAGCAGGCCGGCGTTGGCCCATTCCTCGTACCGCTGCTCGAGGTCGGCGGGCGAGAACGTCAGCAGCAGCGGGGCCATGCCCACGGGCGGGGCGACGGCAGGGCCATCGCCCATCTGCCAGGCTGCAACGATGTTCGTTTATTGGCACCAGCCGCGGCGCGCGCTGCTGTGGCCTCAAGGGCGGTTTTGGCCCTGGGCGGGCGCCTGGGGCCCAGAATTGGGCGTGGGGGGGGGGGGGCTGCGCCCGGCTGTGCCGCTCGTTGGCCACGGCACAACGGGGGGGGTAGGGGGGTCGAACTGGACATACGGCCCGGCGTCCGGGCCGGCTGGCCCGCTTAGTAACGGGCGCCGGAAGGTTGCCAGAAGGGTTGGGTCGACTTCAGGGTGCACTTCGGCCATCCCTGCGGGGTACTTTTGTACCTTGAAGGTACAAGGCGTTGGTGTATGTACTGAGGGTGGCAGTGTACCGCTCGGCGGCTTGATGAGCGCGGCGGGCGGTAGTGTGTGGCCTGCGGGCTTCGAGAGGGTACCGCGGCGCATGTGACGGGGGTCGCTCGATTGTACCGTGCGCACCTGCCCATTGAGCTCCCAGCGCTGGCATGATGAAAAGCATGATGAAATGCATGATGCACATCGCTGTACGGCCCGATTGGCGTTTTGGCGTCAACGGCGAGGCCTCAAGCTAGAGGAACGGCTACGTTAAATCCAACCCGACATTGACCTTGACCCGATCCGACCCCGGGCGTAGGTTTGGGGTTTAGGGGAATGCGCGGGACGCCGCATACCCGTCCCGAGACCAAAAATTCTGGCATTTGCATTGGTGGCGCTAGCATAATGGCTAGGTACATTTGGGGGATATACGGTCGCCACTGGCGACTCGCCAGCCACCCGCATGCGCAAAAGCCCAAGTCGTTGGGCGCCCAACATTTAAGCGGTGAGCTGGGGGAGTTCCTGATGGGGCGAAGACCACTGCCCACTGATCGGTAGCTCCACAAGCTATGGTTTGCCACATGTGGAGCTGAAGATTACCACGTGGAGTGGGGTTTGGATCCGGGGGGCAAATAGGCAGCCGATGGGCCGCGGCCACCCCGATTGCCAGCCCTAGAGGTAGTCATGCGCAGCTACATTTAGAATTGGCAGTCAACAGGAACAACAAGAATGGGTTTTGCTAGGAAACCAAAGCAAAAAATAGGGGGGGGAGAAGAATTCGTTCTCGATCTCAGAAACAAGGGTCGATCTGTTGTGTGAACATTGTCTTTGGTTCTTTATTCGAGCAAAGTGAGATGCGATGCAAAGGCACGCAGACCAATTATCCGCGCCTTGGGTGAGCATCGAGCGCAGCGAGGCGATTTTGGAATTTGGGCCATTTTTGGGCCATTTTGCTGTATTGAAATGAGGGCTTTGGGGACGGTCTGGGTGCTTGTGGGGATGGTGGTTTAAGTACAGGGTGATTTGAGGGTTATGTAACTGCGCTGTGTGCCGCGGGGACAAGATGCTGGGAACCTTGTAACAAACATCCTGTTTTGCTATCATTGCCTGCCTGCAAACCGTGCGCAAGGCAACACCGGACCCAATCCACCCTTCCGACTGACGCACCATAGAGGCTGTTCCGCAAAGGGGCCCACCACATCCGCGCCGCATCGAGATCGATCAAGTGACCGTGCCGATTACGCCTAGCCAACCGCCCGAGGGATCATCGATCCATCGCACGGGGCGCGCGCAGAAAAATTATGCGCCACGATCGGTTACTGCCTGGTGGTGGTGGACACGATCTTCGCGCTGCCAAACCTAGGGTCAGTGTGCAGGATTGAAGCAATATCAGCATTACAAAGAACAACCTTAATGGAGACCACACCTTGTGTTGTGCCGCCGTTTCTTTGCCGGAAACCGCGCCTTGTGTGTAACGTGGCTACTTAGGGTTAGGCTTAATTGGCATTTCTTGGAGTGGCGATTTGCCATTCCTATAAATCGCCCCTCTGATGAGCTTATTTCGAAACTTTTGATGCCTCTAGGCTTTTGAAATACCCAAATCCATTAAGCATTGAGGAAATTATGGCCCACTGAACTTTTAATACTTTAGGGTATAAACGGAGGGGCTAGTACTTAAGTCAATAGGGAAACGGGTCAGTCGAGGATGAATGGAGGATGGTGGCAATGTGCCTGGACACACACTTATGTTGTCTTTTCATGATGTGAATGCGATGGACCTGCGATCGGGTATCGTGCATGCTGTGAATCTGGATAACACTCTTGACCCATTTTTTGGTATCCCATGAGCCTGCGAACCACTGTACCGCTGCGCTGCCACCTCTTGTTGGCAGTCCCTGGGGATCAATCCCTGTCGAGTATTAAGCCCACCGCGTGACCTTTCAGGTGTCTGCTCTAGAAATCGCCCACCGTCCAGGTGAAGAGGCCAATCGAACCTCCAACAATTGTGCCGCAGGGCAGGGCGACCCCAATGCCTCCAAAGACTTGCAGCTGCCAATGGGGCTGTAACATTGTGGCTTTCCAGGCACATAGTTGTGAAATTCTCACACCCCGCCTGGCTATGTGGCCTTAGGATCTTGGTTTTCCCCTCATCTTTCCTAGTGCTCCCTACTTTGTGCGCACCAACGACGTGTGTTTTCCTTTCATCATGCAATGGCGCCTGTAAGGGGCGGTTCCCCTTCTCGGCCAGACGGGACACGGCCCGTTTCCCCGTTCGAGTCGGGGCTGGTCGGCGGTGCGAGAGGGAAAGAGAGTTCGGTGCAACCTTTGATTACAAGTCGATCCGGTTTGTGTTTGTTTATATAGTTGCCCAAAGGCGGCAACAAGGTAGCCAAACGGCCATAGCCAGAGTGTCCCAGGCTTAGTTCAAATTCGTATTTTGTTCTCTCCGTATCCCCGTGTCTCACAGTTGAGTCAGCTATTTGTCCCGTGTGAACTTCCCGTTCAGTACCCATCCTTATAGGTCTCCCACGCCCGCGTGTCTGCCCCTAGTATGGACCCCATGTTGACTCAACACAACGCCTTATCCCAACATGATATCCCTAACAAAACCCTATTGTACAATGCTCACTTTGGTGTCCCTAATATACAATATTCCTCGCTTCTAATATACAACTCCCATAGTTCTATTATACAGTGCTAAGGGCCCAGCCCTTACGCTCGGCCTCCTGTAATGTCCAATACACTTGTTGCGGCCCCGTTGGCGGCCGCTGGTTTGAGGAGGCGCCGGGGTCGCCTTGCCCTGCAGCACAGCCGTTGGAGGTTGGCTGGCCTCTCCACCTTAGACAGTGGGCGTATCCGGGGTAGTCGATTGGGTAGTCATGCGGTGGGCCCAATGCTTGACGGGGATCGATCCCCAGGGCCTGCTGCCGGCGAGAGGTGGCAGCGCAGTGCAGTGGTGGTTCGCCGGCTCGCACAAGGTTAGAGAGTGGGCCAAAGCGAGTTACACAGGTTCAACGCATGCGCACACACAAATTGCATGCGCGATACCCGATCGCAGGTCCACCGCAATCACATCAAGACAAGACAACATAGTGCGCATCCAGGCACATCGTTGCCATCCACCGTTCACCCACGATCGACCAATTGTCCTCCAATTCCAAGCATCTAAAACCCGACCCCTCTTGCCCTAAGTACTATAACTTCAGGAGGCCATATCTTCGTTGTTTCTTAATGGAATCGGGTATTTCAAAGTGCGTTGGAACCAAAAAGCTCTAAATCTAAAAAATACATATTGTTGGCATAGCCATGCTTGTTCGAGTGGTGCACATGCACACACACTTTTGCTGCAATTCATGTGCCAAATTGTAGGAGATTTGCAAACCTGGCATGCCTCACGTACTATTCCCAAGACCACCCACCCACCACCAGTTTCTTCCAAATGAGAGCGAGTGCCAAAGCTACGCTCCAAGGCGCCCGCCCTAAGGATGTTAGCACACTTTTCTCAAGTGAAAGGCAATCGACTCGTCAGGTCGATCGCCACAAACAGAATTTTCAAACTTGCCTCCCCCCACCCCACCCCATCCCCACCCCAACGCCACTCGCCTCCAATTGGCGGCCAAGGAAGCACCTCAAAGTGCTGCAGCGCCGCTGCCAAGCCTCTTTGAAGTGAAAGATCATGACGATCGATGCATTGGGTCAATCGCCGTGGCCACAATTTTTAAATTTGAACTTGAACCAACCTGCCCCACTCCTCTAAAACCACCACTCGTTCTAATATATGACCAAGAGACGCCAAGAGGCACCTCAAAGTGGCCACCCAGCTTGCTCAAAGTGAACATCGCATTGGGCGACCAGTTCCGTCAATCGCCTTGAACAGATTTTTTTTGCATCCGTTGCCCCCCAACCCCTACATCCCTTACCCAACGCTCTCCCAGACACGACTCAAGCCATGGCCGTGGGCGATGGCAATTGCCACCGCCGACCACTCGCCCAAGTGCCGCCTGGTTCATGGCCGCCATGCCTTGGTCAAGAAAGCCGGGGGGGATGGACTGTGAGTGGGCGATCGGCTGCAATGCGGCGGGCCGGGCGCCGGTCAAGGAAGCCGGGGGGAATGGGCGTGAGTGGCCGGTCGGTGGCCATGCTGCGCGCCGCACCGCACGCACCCCATGCGCAGGTCAAGGAAGCCCGGTGATGGGCGGCGTGTGCACGGCAGGCGTCCGCGCCGCGCGCCGCCCGTGCGCTGCGTGCTGGTGCAGGAGCTGGGAGGCCCACCATAGGGTTTACGCAAACCGCATACCGCCCACGCGCGTAACGCGAAAAAGGGACCACGCGCACACGCGCATAGCACCAAAGGTGTCCTGGACCCCCCGTCCCCCTCTTTAGTCACGCCTAAGCCCAGGCCGACAGGCCGCCTACAGCCCGCATGCGTAACGCAAAAAGGGACCACGCGCACACGCGCATGGCACCAGAGGTGTCCCGGATCTACCGCCCCCCTCTTTAGTCACGCCTAAGCCCAGGCCGACAGGCCGCATAACGCCCACGCGTGTATTGCGAAAAAGGAACCACGCGCACACGGCGCATGGCACCACGGGTATCCTGGACCCTGTACCGCACTAACCGGTACCCGGGGGTATTGACAACCCCCTACAGTAACCGGCCCAAGAGGGCTACGGTTATGATAGTGT